CTTGTGGTCCCTTCCAACATGGCATTCTATGATTCTATGACTTTCAGCAGGGGTTCAAATTGCTCCTGAAATAACTTCCATGCTGTTTATTAGTGGCTTCCTAGGTCTTCCTTCTCAAGTTTTGAAAGGATTTCTGGCTTATGAAATAACCATATAATTTTATTTTTTTACTAGGATCACATCAGCTGAGGTGTATTGTTGGTTTCATTCTAAAATGACTCAAGCTGCCTGTGTTTGTTGAGAAACATTTGTGAACAAGACAGCAAACCTGAGTATTTAAACATAATCACTGAAAACTTCACAATGGAGAGCTATGCTGGATCTCTGGTGAGTACAACTCTGTAGCTTTACAAATACTGAATTGTCCTTAAAAATAGAGTCCAAAGTTTAGCAAACTGAAATTTATGTTTTCTCAGCCTTTGAGTTAGCTTTAGTGTTTTGTCTTTGCACGAGCATGTGTGCACTGCTGCTGCTGAACACCCCAATGCTAAAGGATGCACCACTCAGCCACTGGTTAGCAGCTTGGTCAAGCTGACCTGAGGTGCTGGGCTGGAATTATGTGCTCAGCTATGTCCTGACTCCAGTCCTGCTGATAACAACTGCAAGCTCATCTTCATCACAAGTATTATTTGTTGCTTGCTACTATAAAATCTTGCATGGTAGGTATGTGCAATGGCAGCCATGAAGGTCTAGGCTTGCAAAGACAGCCAAGTGGCTCCTTTGAACTCCAGACAGGTTTTTCATCATGGTCTGCTCAGGGGAGCATGTGCACGCGTGCATATGGATGCACACAATGTGTGTATAAATGCAACAGCCACCTCTTCCCTCTGCCGAGCTGCTGTCCCAACTTTGTTCTTCAGCTGCAATACAGAAGGTAAAGAGAGGGAGCAGGTACCACAGAAGCAGGAGAGCCTCAATTTAGGCCTTTTTGTTTGCAGAGAAACAAAGTCATTATGGTGTGAAGGCAACACAAATGAGAAGTCCTGAGTGGCCACAGACTTGTTCATGCAGTTTATTTCATCAGGAGTCAACAAATGCTCAGAGCCTCACATATGAATTGGCTTGAGTTGAGCTTTTAATGCATTTAAGCAACAAATCACTGCCGGGTGTATGATGAATATGTTTTCTGAGAGAAAGCAGGCAAAGGTCTCTGTGCAAACACTTTGTCATTTAGCTACAAACCACTTGATGATTGTGGTTAGCAGATTCAGAAAAAGCATCTGTGCAATTGAACTTTTAGTAGTAAATTTATATGCATGATAAAAGATTCTGTAAAACCAAATCAATGGGCTTATTTCTGGCTAAGTTGAAGACTGTATCTCTATCTAAAATTATCTACCTGCAGTTAAATTTTTTAAGCAGCTGACTGCTCAGTCTCTGTTCTGATACAATAGCATGTCATGCTCCTCTGCAAAGCTGTCACTTAGTGTTGGAATGTTTTTATAAAAAAACACTTTGTATTTGAACACAAAATACCAGCATTTTCAGTTGCAAGTAGTTATATTTACGTAAATTCTTTAATTTCAGCTGAGATGTAGTTATCCTCTAGGATTTACAATTTAGAATGTAAAATGTATCTATAAATGTAAAAAAAGTCCCCAGACTACAGGAAATGGAGAGGGGAGGGAGAAGAAAAAAAGACATTATGCAAATTAACTCTTCCGGGACAACTTACCTCTGTTTTATAAATCTGGTGCTTTGAAAGCACAATGCATCTGTTTTATGTGCCAGAGAAATTCTTCCCTTGGGCAAAGCGAGATTCAAATCCTATTGATTCGATATGACATGCCACCTTACAGATATGCCCAGAGTGCAAATATTTGCGGTGAGCATCAGCATAATGTTCATTTAGGTGCATTTGTATGAGCTAGCTTCCAACTTCACCTGTAGTTACAGTAAAAAATTGCAAGAATAGCTGCAGTGACAACAATGTGAGACAAACTTGAAATAAATTTTTTGTTCATTTAGGGAAAAGCTTCATTACTTCTCTCCCTCATAAGAATTCTCACTAGGAATGGAAAGCTGTCAAGAAAGCACAGAGATCAGCTTATCAGCCTGCCTTGTACAGCTTTCACTAGCATGAAGGAAGGATTTGGGATCTGTGTTTTCCAGGCACTCTGTGACAAAGCATGCCAGTCACACTGAACAGCTTCCAGTCTTCTCTGGGAGCGTTTCTGTCAACACAGACTCAGCCAGGAGCCCTAATGTTCTCAGCTGCTCTATCTAGAAACCTTCCAGAAGTGGATCTGACAATTCAAATCTTAATTTCCCCCAGGATTGGTGTGAATATATTTGGTGTCTTTCAATCACAAAGGTCAGAAGTTGTTCAGTGCAAATGCCTGCTCAACACAGGACTAATGTATATCTGGTTGCTCAGGGCCAGGTCCAAGGATGGAGCTTCTGTAACCTCTCTGGTTACTTCAGTACTTGATCACACTCAGACTTAATAAATCAGTTTCTGTTGTTCAAACTTGTGTTCATTGCCTCTTGACCTTCCACTATGTACCACTGGGCCTGGCTCTGATTTCTCTGCACCCTACCATAAAGGTAGTCATTGATAAGACCTCCTCCAAGCATTTCCTTCTCCAGGATTAAGAAATCCAGCTCTCTCTGCCTCATCTAATAAATAATTCCCTCCAGCCCATGAACACTCCAAAAAAAAAAAAATCACAGAATAGAGACATTTCAATGAAAAGCAACGTACTTGATACCATAAGTTTGGAGTAGCAGTGTGCAAGTGTCCTCTTGTACTAGGAAACTAAGTCTGAAAGGCAGAAAAAAAAGTGGATGGCTACTCTTTTTGCTCTCTGTTTTCATATGCTACCTACTAGGAGAAGAGCAAAGCACCCTGCAAAAACAGTGCAAACTCTACAAAGTAACACAAGCCACAGTAAAAGATGCTCACCACAGCAGGAGGGAATCTCCCAGAAACAGAAAAACTGGAGAAAGTAGAACAGAGAACAACACAGTTCAGAAACATGAATACAAAGAATATACACCACTTGCTAGTTTGAGAGTTTGTAAGTAGTGGGAGAGTAGTTAAGTGTGTGGTCAATGAGGCAGATATTTCCTGTAGAACTGATTCTAAAACATTTAACATGAGAGGAGTCAAATGTAGACTCAAGTGTTAACTTGAGGAGGTAAATACATCATAAGAGAGTCTACCAAATACTGAGGTTATTTATGCACTTGTTCTGATATACCAAGTGTTGCAAGCATCACTTTTCAAGAGGTGAGCTGTCTTCTGGAGAAGGCTGCTTTAAAACAAACATCAAAAAACCCTGAAGAGCCAGATCTTTCAGATTTTTTTTTAAATCGTCTTCCCTACATTGTGATGTTTCTGTAGGTATGACACAAAACATACTGCACACTAGCAGGATTATCATATCTCATGGTTTCCAGGCACAGATGTGTATTCAATCCTTTAGTCAGCCTGTAGCCTTTTTAAGCTGAGTAAGTGTGCACTGTAGCTATCTCCTGTAACATTCACTGTAAAACATGTTATCTTAAAATAAGCTGTAGCATGGTAACTATTGGAATTAATTCCTTTGGTCCTCGGGTTCAGGATGAAAAGAGATTTTACTATGTATGAAACACCAGAAGGCAGTCATCACACTGGCAGCTTTCCTTAGCTCCCTCATTTCTGCTCTGAAGTTCTTAAACTGTCCTGAAAAGACAGATGAAATCTCTTCAGCATTTCTCCACAACTAAACTGCAAAGGGTTTAAAGGAATGAGGAAACAGTGAAAAAATATGGTGTATATACTTCTTGTCTATTCCTAAGATTGCAACAATGCATAAGTTCTTGCAACAGCTGCTCCATAAACATTCAAGGCATTCACTCACTGTGCCCTGTCTTCAGTTGGCCTGTGCTGCAGCAGACATCCCCTTTTTCTGAAATGCTTGTTTTTCCTTTCAACTATTTATGTATAGTAAGTCTTTGCCACATTACTGTCACTGTTTTTAAAAGCTACAGTAAGGTTCTGAGACTGTAAAAAAGGTACAGTAAGGTTACTTTAGTACAAGGCAGAAACACTTACATGGGAACAGTACCAACAATTTAGCACTGATATTGTGTATAAGAAAAATCCCATTATTGTGAGAGTTTGCACTCTGCAAATAGAGCAGGAAGGTCCTTAGAAAACAAACAGAACAGGGAGCACATCTAAGAAATTCCCAGAACAACAAACCTAGCCTAAATCCCTTATGTCTATGTAAGGTGGGTTACTACAGTAGGAAAAGACAGAGCAGGCGTAGGAGAAGAGTTACAGCAACATTCACCTGTGTGTTTGCAAAGGAATAATTACAGCACAATATATTTGATATAGCTTCCTGAAGTTAAAACGTTGGTAGGCTGAACTAGGAAAATTCTCAAGTAAGTGTATTAACCTCAGCTGGTCTTAAACAAGTGAGTCCTTGTCTCCCGGGACAAAAGGCTTTGAAGCTACAATCATAATAGTACTGAGCTACAGTACCAACACTGCTTTTGAACTGTTGTGCTGGAATACAAATCTGCCTTTCGGCTTTTGTGACTGATGTTGACATAAAGCTTTTACCTAGAAAAGACAAATGGAAGTGCTAGTCATCAATAAAGCTTCTTAAAACTAGTTTCCCTCAGTTTCTTAAAATTGGGCTTCAGAGTTTTGGTTTTGGTTTACGTTGTACTATTGAAATCTGCTAGTTACATAATAAAGCATGCAAATGAAGTGCAACAGACTACTCTTAGCCATTATGTGTTTAAGCATATTTTAATATTTCTATTGACAAATATTATAAGCATAACCAGAGTGAACAGTACACATTTGGAGGCTGTCCAGTGATAGCCTTGAGTCACTGAACTACTGGCTCAAGGAGAACTATTGGCATTCTAATTTCATTCAGTTGAGCTATAGGATGTTGAGGTGATCACTGACTAGGACATAGAATCATAGAATGTACTGGGCGTGAAGAGACCTATAAAGATCATCTAGCCCAACCCCCCTGCAGTAAGCAGGGAACCATGTTCCAATAGTGCCAAATTCTAACCAAAACTCAAGATTGTGCGTTAGTAGCCAAGGCCGAGGCAAACAATTATTCTGTATCATACACAGAGAGCAACTAGTATTGCACAAAGTTTGGTCAACAAACTAGATAGACTTCTTTAATAACTTTTTGCTAATAACTCAATAGGCACAACAGTACCAGTAAGCATGTGAACTTTAAAATGCACAATTGCTACAGACAGTTGACTTTAATACGGTAATAAGTGTTTGGTAGCAGACTTATAGACGACTTTTGGATTCTTCCACTCTTGAATCATTTTGTATTTCCTCATCATCTAGTCATGCACTGGAGAGGAACTCCACAGCAGTCTCCTTCTCTTCAGTTAACTCCTTCGCAGTCAGATCCATCTTCTCACGAGAAAAATCATTAATAGGAAGACCCTCAACAAACTTCCAGGTCTTATCCTGTTTAGAAACAAACAAAAAGCCCCTCCATATGAGAACATGGTTCATTCAGTCTGCATGAGCGAAACTTTACAGCATAAGAAACGAAGTTTATGGCCTTAAAGCACACATCAGTCAGAAGTTAATTTTGTTTTCAGATAATGAATACAACCAGCACCAGCTAGTCATGTAAGATTCTACTTTTCTATCAGTGCTTATTTGACAACTACTACAAAACGGTCAGTAATAGTCCTGTGAAAGACTGCTAGAACTTCCACGTCCCTGCAACTGCAGTCCCATACTAAAAGCGCTGCTGCTAACAAGCTCATGACAGTTTAGCTGGATCTTGCAGAAGATACTTGGATTTAAATACAGTCTAGTTACCTTGATCACAACAGGGAATGAATACAGCAAGTCTTCAGGAACACTGTAAGAATTGCCATCAGAAATCACTCCCATGGAAACAAATTCCCCCTGAAACGAGAAAAGTAAGAGATAAATACCGTTTTTCACTGCTAGAAGCAAGAAAAATTTTAATTTCCAATATACTGCATCTCCTATGATACACATGTCTGAAAAAGACAGATTCTTCCCCTCTCACCACACATACACACTTGAGGTCAAAGACACCATCATGTAATCAAAGCATTAGGCAAACAAGCACTGGCTCAAGCGTAACATCTTACCGCTGGAGTGCCAAACCAGATGTCCCTCACATGATCACAGATAGCTTTGGCAGCTGACATCGCACTCGACAGCTTCCTAGCCTTAATAACGGCTGCTCCACGTTGCTGAACAGTCTGCAATTATGAAAAAACCCTTAATTGTAAAGCATCAAAATCATGACTTGGTCTAAACACTGTTAGTAAATGCCTTACAAGCATTGTTTAATTTCATCAGTCAAGGAACAGGTCTATCACTACATAAACATGGCATACAATCCAGAAATAAAATCTAGAAGAGTTTTCCAAGACAAGAACATAAGGGAATATTTCAGCGGCTGGCTCATTTCTTAGCACCAGCTTTACTGCTAGCAGCCCATTAACTTCTCTCATACCAACCAGATGTTTCAACTTTTTACTGCCAAGTGACTTCATGTATGTCAGTAGCAACCAATGTCTCAGAGCAACACTGGTAATTAAGGGTTTTAGCTGAATACCAATGTGAACTATTTTTTGGTCTCAAACCTACAGTACTTCATCCATAGAATTAATTTAATTCCTGAAGACAGTTGAACCTACCTCTCTATACTCAAGTTTATATTTAGAAATTTTGTACTTAAGAATAGCCCTTCTTAGAATTACAATAGCTTCTTAAACCTTAGATTTATTTTTTTTTCTTTGATAAAGTTTTGGTAAGGTTCTATGCCAACCAGAATGCACTCTAGAAAAGCAAGAACTGTGGAATCTCTTTATTTTAGGCAAAACACTCTAGCATAGACCAACATTGCCATGTACCTAGAAAGTCAAAACAGTATCCTCCCTTGGCCACATAAGATAGGATCAAGGCCAAGGACAGGTTTCTGCTTACACTCTGGCTCATGAACTTTGGTTGCCAGCATACAATCATCAATTCTATAGCAACAAGCATAAACTGGAATAAGCTATATCCAAAACCAAGATAGGACAGGGCATGCTCATATGACAAAACATATCCTCAGTCCAAAACAAAAAGGTGTCTTGGCTAAGACATAGTACCTGACTGTCAGCATGACAGTAACAGTGCAATACCAAAAAATGAACAGCTATTTGGAGTCACATTCATCAAGGGCTTTAGTAGCCCTTATTTCACTTTATATTGCTTTTACATAGCTTGCGCTCTTGATCAATTAATACCATTATTTTGTTTTACTACCCTACATTATTATTTATTACTACCCTACATTAAAGCATTTACAGGTGTTTTCTAGATTTCTCAGATTACTTTTCAGAAATGATGATGATGAGGCCACAGATTTAGATTTGGAAAGCACGTGGGTGCATGCACACAAATGCATGTCAGGGGGAAGGCTGCTTGGCTTTTTTTGGCTCAGAAGATTATCCTACTTCATCTACAAAGCGGCCCAAAAAAAGTCACCATAGTGAACTGCCAATAATGCCTGTGTGCCAGATGAGTTGCACCTAAGTTATGATCAAAATTATTTTTGTTGAACCATGTGAACACTCCAAGTGGCTTTTTCTAACAGTATTTACATAAGTTTCATAAAGCCTTAAATTTTTCAAAAGCAATTAAGTGATAGAGACAAGCTATCCCACTACTTATTCTAGTAGGACAGGAAAAGGTGCTTCACTCAGTCTTTTACATAGTTTACAACTTCATATAAAGTTAGGATAAAGCAGATGCACAGAATGACCGTTCTAAAAAGCCCCAAGATCTTACCAGGATAAAGTCTCCCTTCAGCCAGCTGTCATCTTTTATAGCTTCATAAACTCCAACTTCTTTTCCTTTCACATTCACCTTTGCATGGTTAACATCTGGATATTGAGTGGAGGAGTGGTTGCCCCAGATGATTACATTCTTCACATCATTAGCAGTCACACCAAGTTTCAGAGCAATCTGATCAGAAAGTAAAGATGCCCATTGTATTAACTTCTCCCTTTCAAGGCTTCTTTGAAAGCATTGCTCTGTTTGTATTTAGCTGAGACAACAGAAAGTATTCTACTTTGAATAGGCCTTTTTTACCTGAGATTTGGCTCTGTTGTGATCCAAACGAGTTAAGCAGCTGAAGTTTTCCTTTGGTATTGATGGGGCTGACTTTGATGCAATCAGGCAGTTAGTATTTGCTGGATTCCCAACTACCACAACCTAAAAACATAAACGGGGAAAGGGAATGTGGAAAGATGAAGAAACTATTTCTGCAAGACAGCTCCCTCAAGTGAAATACACGGCTTTGCCTTCAAAGAAACTATCAAAAAGTTAAGTTTTCTAAATCTCTTGGTTGTTTTAAACAAGATTTTTCTTTCCACATGTACATTGTTCATAGTCATCAAGTCTTTTATAACTGCACGGAAAAATATTTTCTAGCTAAGTACCTTCTTTTATAATTTGATATTCAAATGACAAGAGAACACCACATCTAAGGAGATCTGCACACTGACCCACAGCCTGGCTTCAAACGCCATGCTATGAGATACAGGGAAAGCACGATACATACACGCTAGTCAGCCCACAGTGAATTCACCATCACCTTTTAAAGTTTCCTAGACTGGCTGCCACGGCTTTATATAATTAAGGAAGCCACAACAGTTACTTATCTCAATGTTCATAGGCAGTTAGAAGTAAAATATTGCCTGAACTTGGATCAATTTATTACTATGGAAAACTGATTTTTATTCATCCATCATCTACTTATGTGCCTGAAATGATTAACGTCAAGCTCTATATACTCTCAATCACACAAGCTGATCTGCAAACCTCCCCTTGTGTTTCCCCTTTTGAAAGTGAGTTCAGTAAATTTTCCATTACTCTGCAACAGTTATATTGATAGTTTTTCTTCCAACTCTATAAAGAGGCAAACAAGTTTTTAGAAGCAGTAGGAAGTTCATCAGCAGATGAAGTAGCCATTAAAAAGTCAGTTACAAAGCACAGTTGGAGTCTGGGTCTGAGATTAAGAGCAGTAGGAGAGCAGCCACATGATCCCATTAACTGTGCTGAAGGAATCTGAGAGAGAACAATTAAAAGCTTCCAATGTTCCAAAGACCAAGACACAAACAACCTAAATAAAGCCAATTTTTTGTGCAACTGTAATTCCACATTGATATTGAAGTTAAGGGTCTTTATGTTAAAGCCACAGATGGATATGAAATAGGCATATAGATAATTTACTTCTCCAAGAGAAGACAGATAATGAGCAGAAGACTTTTTATTTTTCTATATAGTTTTGATTTTTTTAAGAATTGTCAGTAATCGGTTCAGAGTATGCGTGGAATACAGTAATACAATGTAAGACGTATCTTTTTCACCAAACAAATTAAGGACTAAATTATCTACCTATTTAACATACTTTATCTCATCTAACCTTCACTGTGGTACATTTTCCAGGGCTTAAGGAAAGGAATGCCCACACTAAATAGGCTCCTGCTTGCACAATATCATTCTACAGTGTATTTAGATCTCCAAATAACAAGAGTTAAATTTTTAAATTCAGTTTCTATATTCACCTTGACAGTCTTTTTGGCATACTTGTCCAAGGCTGCGCCCTGAGACTTGAAAATTTTCACATTTGCTTTGAGTAAATCCTTCCTCTCCATGCCCTCTCTCCTTGGCATGGAGCCCACCAGAATTGCTATGTCAAGGTCTTTGAATGCAACTTCCTCCTTGTCTGTTGGAATGACCTCTGAAAAAAGGAAATGGGGAAGAAAACAACTAAGCAAGATAAATACTCATGGCAAAATGTTAATGAGAATATTCTTTGCTTCATAAATAGTACATAAACTGATCTGACACCGCCACCACTTTCCCTTTCCAGAAATACAAGTATAGTCATTTGGTTCTAACTGCACAGAGTGGGTACTGTTTACTGGCAAGTATTTCTACACAAATAATTATCTACAGCTTTAGATATAAACTCTGAAGACGCAAGAGAAATCTATGTCAAAAGATACCCTTCATGTGTCTCTCTCTAAATACATATACATATGTATACATGCATATTATACACATGTATGCATATATGCTGTTGTTCACTTTCACAAAAAAACTCAAGTATCAAACACAAATGAAGTTTTCCTCTCCCTTTAAAAATTCAAACTGAAGAAGGTTTGATTTGTACAAGTTCAAGAGCTGGCAGCTACGATTTTTAAATACTGTGATAATTATAGTAGCATCTACTGGCTCCCTTCTGCTCGTTTAGATTTATCAGAAGTAATAGCTTATGTGACTTGATGAGCAATTTTTCAATTTGTGTCTTTATGCAGAAGATACTTCTAAAGACTAGAAATTTTCTTTTTGGTAAAGGCATGTAAGTATATCTAAATTGTTATCATTGTTATTTTACCACTAGGCCAGAATACAATGCATAAATGTACAAGTATCTGACAACTCAGGATTATATTATATAAACCAAAACTCAGGTATCTGCGTAATCAATTCTTTACACAAAACTCATTTGATTACATTCTTCCTAGTTTACAGCCTAAATTAAATTAAATTATCTTCCACAAAATATAAAACCAAGAAAGGATTGTCTAATATCTTCTGCTTAACTTCAGCTTCCAGATGGAGGAACTCATAAATGCAACAGTTATACTAGAACATCTTTTAGGTATAAGAAAAAATTCTTTTGGCCACCTCTCAACAGCGGTAGAGCACAGTCCTGCAGCTCCATCACTACACCTTCCAATACAGTCATCATGGGGGTGATATCCAGCAGCACAAGAACAAGAGGCTGTAAAGAAAGAATTGGTTTAGTGCAAGTTGCCCATAATCTGTGTTGAAAATGAATGTCTTGTTAGCTAGCACAAGATAGCCAGAAACCACTATCCTATGCAAGACTTAAAATCCATTTACAGAAAGCCGAAAAACTTCAGCATGACCCACAACTGAAAGCTTGTTAACAGAGCAGGACTCCATTTTCTCCACTTAAAAATAAATTACTTGCATATTGGTAAACCATTCTGAGTGTCTACAGGAAAACAAGTCTCATGGACTGCAGTTCTGACATTAGCTTATTCTTTCCTGTGCAGCAGAGACAAGTGACAATTCACTGTAAGAGTTACCTGTTCTTTGCCGAAGACATCTCCCTTGGCAATACTGTAGAGCAGCGAGTAAGCAATCTGCCCAGCAGCTCCAGTCACCAGGACTCTGATAGGCTCACTCTGCAAGGAAGTTACAAAGACTTACATACAGGTACACAGTGCAGGCTCATGCCATCGGAGAGCAGTTAAAATTATCAGTTGCTACAGAAACAAGGCCATGATTATTTAACCTGGATGAAAACATATGCCTAAGTGTGGATCAGGGCCAGCTCCTGGGATCACACTTCTGTTCTGCTACAACCACCAGCAATTTTTCTACTTGCTTTTACAGAAACAGGCCACAGTCACAAAAATATCTCTAAGAACTGTTACTGGAAAAGCTTCCGAAATGCCAGAAATTACACTATTTGAAAAACTCTGTATTCCTTTTAAGAATGCTGCCCTTTTAGCATCAGGTGTTACAACATGTGCCCACTTGTTAGACTACCCACCCATACCTCAAACTCACTATAGAAGTTTTACGAGCTGCCACACTTCAACAGTTTTCAGATCCTTTCAATTTTGAGGGTTGTTTCCATTAAGCATTTTGAATTCTTACTTGCCACTAAAGGCTTATTGAATGCCAGAAACCAAGGAATCTAGTGGACTTAAAACTACTGCCTCACTAAACTCTGATGCAGCAATTTAACAAATCCACGAACAAAAGCTAAATTAGGGACAAATACAGACACTAATATCCATAATACAACTGTCCATTGTCTAATTGACCCAAAACTCCAAAAGACTGGGAGAAGACTGCCAACACATTGCTATATTGCAAAGGTGGGGGAGAGGAGGCAAATGGCTTACCCTACAGGAAAAGCCCATTTTGTTAAGCACAACCAGGACTTGGGGAACTCCACAGGTTATTTAATATTGAAAAAGGAAATCAGGCCAGAGAATATTCATAAGCCAACATTTTGTAAGTTTGTTTTGTGGGGGTTTTTTTGGTGGGGTTTTTGTTGTTGGTTTTGGGTGGGTTTTTGTTTTGTTTTGTTTGTTTGTTTGGGGTTTTTTTAAAATCTTCTTTTTTCCCCTAAGATAATAGGACTGGGGCAGACTGTGCTAGGACAGGAACAAGCAGACTTCAATCAGCCCACGGGAATCCTATGCCCACTTTTTCATATAATTAAAAGATGATAATTTGAATTATGGACAAAACATATTCCATATTCAATAAAGTCTGAAGAAATTTGATTGGATACTGAGTTACATTATGGAAGTGTAGCTTCCAGAGCAAAGGCAGGCATTTATCTTAGCACTGGTGGTTGCAGCTGGAGTATGGAATCCAGTTCTGGGAGCCTGAGTTTGAGAGGGATGCTGAAAAACCAAAGAGGGTCCTGGCAAGCACTACTCAGATGGTTGAGGCCCAGAGCTCATGTCCTATAAGATGAGGCTGAGAGAGCTGGGCATAACCTGGAAAGGTACAGGACACAAGGTGATCTAACAGCAGCCTACTACAACTTCAAGGAGTGCTACAAAAATAATGCTGTCAAACACCTCTCAGTAGTGGCAAGTGGCAGAATATGTGGCAACAGCTACAGACTGTGAGAAAAATTCTTGATTAGGGTGGTACTGCTGCACTGGAACAGGCCTCAGAGAGTCTGTGCAGCCTTCGCCCTTGGCTGTTTTCAAGAAACATATGAAAAAACATGTATGACCTGATTTAGCAGTGAGAAAAGTATTTCTATCAGCCTGCACTGGACAACCTCCAGACTCAAAGCAAGAAAGAGTCAGACTGGATGATCTCCAGAGGTCTATGAGAGCATAAGTGACAAAGTTAAACTACTGAACTTGCAGAGTTAGACCTCAGTATGATTTTGCTTTTGTTATGGAAATGATTCTTTAAATATCTGGTTAAATGGCTACTGGTTGTGGTGTTGAAATGTGTTACTTTCTTTAAAACCTGTCCTACTGTGAGTCTCATCCCTCACATCTCATCAAAACTCAGCAAGGAGGAGGAAAGAGAGTAGACAATTGAGTCTTAGAGCTTTAAATGTCGGATCTAGTTTTGGCGCACTGTTCTTGAGTAGGAATGTTTTATCCTACAGATGTACTAAAATGTGTGAAGGATGGGCAGCACAGATGCATATCAGATTTCAAGTCAGCTTTTCAGCATATTTTTAAGGAGAATCTAAGTTTTATTTACATAAATGGAAAAATTAATGCCCTTTTAAGGCAGCTAATCATATTAGATAGGAAAATAAGTACTGGAAAGTTACTGTGCTACAAAACCTTGACCTGGCAAAATCCATATCAACAGCATATAAAAAGTGATCCCATGCTAAGCAGGCTACTCCAGAACTCACACAGATAAGAATAGAACAAACTTTATTTGAATTACATGGTATCTGAAATCAATTGTGAAATGATTTCTGAATTTCTAGTGAACAGAATGAAGATTTTAAGATTCTCCTCTGCAACCTGTGAGCCAATCTAAAGTAGTGTTACAAAAGGGAAGTCAACAAGAATTTTTTCCATTGTATGCTAATCTGATTTAAACAAATTTCAATACATCCCCTAGCATTACGGTGAGTACTCAGCATAGCAGGAGAGGGAAGCAGTGGAGGTAAAAAGGCAAGAGATAGGACAGTTTTACACTTTTTTTTACTAAGACAGACTTAACATTTAGCTGTGTTGAAAAAAAAAAATTCTTCAATCATGACTCAGCCCCACTCTCACAAAAAAATTATGTTGGCTTAGTACCATCCTTCCTGTTCTCGCCCCCATTTTGGACTGGAATGGGGAGGAAGAAACATAAGCTAAAATGAAGCGAGGAGTACCACCTACTTGATTTTCCTCTCCAAGGCTTCAGTACAGTGGATTCACATACAAGCTCTCCCTGAACCACCTTGACCCTGCACCAATTGTGAGCAATTAGTATCAAAGAAATTTTCATGCTCTGTCTTGATTCCAGGAACCAGATTAACAAGCCAAAAATGTTGCACTTCTTACAAAACATAGTTAACTATCCCTAGAAAACTTAGGTCACATAAAAATCAGTACCATTGAGCATCTGAGGCTACTTTTGGAGGTTGGATGTTTAGAGAAATAAGTAGCTCCCCAATGGAAGTTGTGGGCTCCACACATTCATGTTCAGGCAAATTAATCTGTGACTTGGCTCCTGTACTGGGTTTCAATAAGAATACTGTCACGCTGTGGTAACTACAGGGGTGACCTTTATTCACTCTCAGGTTTATAAAAACTAAAGGACAAATTAAATGGCATCTAACTGAACTATTTACTTCCAAAGCCTTCCCCACTTCACATAAAAGCCAATGTATGGTTTAAGAGTTTTAGGAAATTGAAGAGGTAATGATAAAAAAGAAGGGGAAAAAAAAAGTTAACACTGTACCCCCAGATATGCTTTTCCCTCTAATTCAGCAAACATGTAGGATTTCTCCCCCTCCTAAATTATCACAAATAAAAGTAAAGCTTCCAATATCAAATGAGGAAGCTGTGGGCTTAATGCTCTCTCACTTGCACACACTTTGGGTTAAGAACTTGGTAACTAAATTACCTCTGTGATTACTGCTGATATTAGCAGACCTAAAATATTAGTGCTCTACATGAAAATAGCACTACACTGCAAAACTGATTCAGGAGGTTACAAAGGCAAGTAGAAGTGCAATATGAAATAAACCACAATCTATCAAATGTAGGAACGAGAAAATCTATGTCCTGTCTAAACAAGTGATGGACTTTGCATTACTAATTACAGTTATAAAATACCTCTATAAACATTATTACTGATAAACTTCTCTGTCTGTAAAATATAGTCTGCATAATGTTATTCCTGAATATTAAAGCCAACTGAGCTATTCCACCTTGCTTGACAAGAATGCTTTAAATTCTATCTCCTCAAAAGTCTAAAGCCTGATCAACAAACTTTCCCTTTGCTCTTCCCTCTTTAAAGCAAAGTTGCAGTGACAATAAATGTATTTGGAAATGCGGTAGAAATTATTGGCAGGACAGTTGTGCACTTTTGCAACCCCATCAGCACCGTGGTTCATAGACCACATTCCAAAGGAATTCTTTCCTTAAGAAATGACCTTGAGACAGGTGTCCTTCAAACCTTTTTCCATTTCGTTTAGCTAACAGCAGCCGCATCAACACACACATGATTTTGTTTTAGAAGTTTAAAGCCATTGCCCAATGCTAAAAACATAATTCGAACAGTGAAAGGAAGATAAAAAACAATGACATTCTAAGAAGTCTGGGCATCAAAGTAAGTTTCAAATAGCAGTTCTCCTGGAGACCAGCAAAATCATAGCAGCCAACATTTTGAAAGTTCAAGTACAAACTAAAACTTGCTGCCTTGTGGTCACTCTTGAGAATCCATATTTTGAATGAGTGTGGAGAACCAGGATAGATAAGGTTTACAGATTTCAGTACTTTTTTAGCATACAGCTGAAATAATAAGCCACGTATCAGAACACACAAACATCTTTCATATAGCAAAGTACCAAAAGAAATGGTTTGAATATGAAGGTATGAAGTCTAGAAAAATATGGAGATTTTTCATTATTATAAAGGAAAGCAAGGTCTCTGCACAGTTTTTTGTGTGTGTGCATATACATACACATATATATATATATGTATGTATATATATATATATATATATGCATGCCACAGAAAAGCAAAGCCCTTCAGTTCACCTGTGCAACCTCAGGGCCCGAGCTAGGACTCCTTGACAATTTGTAGAGTCTACACAATTAGCCAGGCTTCTGACAGCAAGCAGGGATGAAACGAGAGACGAAAACGTTCTGCAGGCATTTCCCCTTAAGCTAAGGCAGAAGACAATCGAACCCTGAACCTTTAATGCCTCATGACATTAAAAAGCGAGCATTCCCGTCTTCCCGAAGACAATGCCACCAACCACCGAGCTCGGCAAGGCGCCGTCTTTAGCAAAAGG